TGGGTTCATTTCTAAGACTCAAGACATAACAACTATCTTACTGGACTCTGGAAAGGAGACTTTCACACCAGAAACCTCTCCTTCATTGAAACATGATCTCACATCAAAGATTATCTTGGCAATAGTGATCAGTTCACATCTCCAGGATGCCAGCTGTGGAATAGCTGTTGTGGCTGGTTGAAGGGGGATTTTCCAAAAGCAGTGGGATTCAGAAATTGTCCTGCACTAGAGACTGAGAGGCATAACAGATCTGCCTAATACATAGTCACAAACCCAAACAGGCACCAAAATGAGAACACAAAGAAACAACCCCCAAATGAAAGAACAAGAGAATCCTCCAGAAGAAGATACAAATAAAATGGAGATAAGAAATTTATCTGATATAGAGTTCAGAATAATGATGGTAAAGATGCTCAACAGCATGAGAAAAGATATAGTAACTATGAAAACACAAAGAACGACATAGCACAAGAAAACATTGGAAGGAATACAAAGCAGATTAGGGGAAGCTGAGGATCAGATCAGAGATTCAGAAGACAGGGTTGAAAAAATCATTTAATCAGAGAAACAAAAAGAAAAAAAAAATTAAAAAACCAGAAGACAACTTAAGGAAGTTGTAGGACAATGCAAAATGTAACAATATTCGAATAGCAACTGTGCCAGAAGAGGCAGAAAGTAAGCAAGGGACAGAGAACATGTTTGAAGAAATAATAGCAGAAAACTTCCCTAGCCTGGTGAAGGAAAGTCACCCATGATCAGGAGGCACAGAGAACCCCAAGCAAGAAGAACACAAACAGGCCCACGCACAGACACATCATAATTAAAATACCAAAAATTAAAGACAAAGAGGATCTTTTTTTTTCTTTTTTTTTTAAATATATTTTATTGATTTTGTACAGAGAGGAAGGGAGAGAGATAGAGAGTTAGAAACATTGATGAGAGAGAGTCATCGATCAGCTGCCTCTTGCATACCCCCTACTGGGGATATGCCCTCAACCAGGTACATGCCCTTGACCGGAATCGAACCCAGGACCCTTCAGTCCCCAAGCCAACGCTCTATCCATTGAGCCAAACCGGTTTCGGCGAGGATCTTTTCTTTAAAAATTTTTTTTAAATTAATTTCAGAGAGAGGCAGGGAGAGAAACATCAATGATGAGAGAGAATCATTGATTGGCTGCCACTTGCGTGCCCGCCAACCCCCCACTGAGGATCACCCCCATTGAGGATCAAGCCTACAACCTGGGCATGCACCCTTTACCGGAATCGAATCTGAGTCCCTTCAGTTCACAGGCCAAGGCTCTATCCACTGAGCCAAACCAGGTAGGGCCAAAGAGAGAATCTTAAAGGCAGCAAGAGAAAAGCCATCTGTTACCTACAAAGGGGCTCCCATAAGGAAATCACCTGATTTCTCATCAGAAACTCTACCAGACAAAAGGGAATGGCATAAAGTACTCAAAGTAATGGAAAGCAAGGAAGGTCAGGGAGGGATGGTGGTGTGATGTAATCACTCAAAGAGCTTGTATACAAAACGAACAAACAAACAAGCAGTGGGAAGTCACCTCTAATTACATCAGGCTTGAGTATTGACCATGGTCTTGATTGGTAAAAGGTACACAGCAGGAATTCTGCAAGCGCTGTTGGTGACCTGGTCTTCCTGGGTCTACCGTTCATTTTTCCCCTTTTTTGGTGTGTGTTAGTCTTTGCTCAAGGATATTTTTCCATTGCCTTTTAGAGAGAATGGAAGGGAGGGAGAGAGACAGAGAGAAACATTGGTGTGAGAGAGACACATCAAATGGTTATCTCCTGCACAGCCCCGAGCAGGGCCTGGGATTGCGCCTGCAACCAAGGTACATGCCCTTGATTGGAATCAAATTTGGGACCCATCTGTTCGTGAGCCGGTGCTCTAACCACTGAGCAACCGATTAGGACATTTCTTGTTTTTTTTTCTTTTAGTGTTTTTGTTGTTGTTGTTAATCCGCACCTGAAGTTATTTTTCCATTGATTCATCGGGAGAATAGACAGAGAGAAACATCGATGTGAGAGAAACATCCACTGGTTGCCTCCTGCATGAGTCCCAACCAGGGCCCTGGCTGGGGAGGAGCCTGCAACCCAGGTATGTGCCCTTGACCAGAATCAAACCCAGAATCAAACTTCTGGTCCTCAGGCCGACGCTCTATCCACCGAGCCAAAGTGGCTAGGGCACATTCCTTTTTAAAAAAACTGAGGTACAGTTGGCCTCTAACATTACGTTAGTTACATAGGTGTACAACATAATGTTTGATATTTGCATTCATGTGAAATGTCCCTCGGCAAGCCTCGCTGGCCTCTGCTGAGACTGAGCTTCAATCACACACAAACCGGGCGGCAGCAAAGTGTCTGAGCCCCCTCGGGGCCCCTCCCCTTTGGGGAGATTCTTCCTCCTTGCTCTTTGTTTCGTCCAGATCTCTCCCATGTGGAGTCTATAGAGTCACGCTTTTCTCCTTTGCTGTTGTCCTTTATTGTCGATGCTTATTATGTGCAAACACCATGCTGGTACCTTTAAACTCTCCCTCATTTCTTTCTCAAAACAACCCAATGAGAACTTAAATTTCTGGCTCTACAAGGAGCTAGGAGCCTTGACTTAAAATACCCTGAAAAGTCTAACATGGTGAACCAGCTAGCTGGCAGGGAAGTAAGGAATGCTAAGTGCAAAGACTAGGCTAAGTTAGGAAGCCAGGCGTAAGGGGAATACTGAAGCCAACTTCGGCCAAATCAGGTGCACAGAACCTTCGGCAGTGCCAGCCAGGGCCCGGTGGGTCTCCCCAGTGAGCCTCACAGCGATGTGAACCTGCAGGGAGAGCGCAGACTGAACCCCGCCCTCAAACCCACCCCTCCCCCGTGCCACCAGGGAAACGCAGGCAGGATTGCTGGTCTCTAAACGAGGTGCAGGGGAAGGGAGAAGAAAGGGACATGTGTCAAGAAATAGCTGTAACCACAACACTTACATGGTTTGCAGCCCCAAATCATGGCTAATTCAAAAGACCTCACACCTATCATTTAATTTTAAAGAATTCTCCCATGGTAATGTTTCCATATGCCTGGCCCATGCAAGTTCTCTGTGGAAATCAGATCTGCACCTCAGGCCTCACGGAGCTTCTACAGATAACATCACAAGAGAAGTAGCTTCATGGTCACAGCTGTCAGTCACAAATGGGAGCAGATACCGGGAGTGACAGCCAGCAGGAGGCCAGCTGCAGAGGCCACAGGCTTGCCTGAGTCTGGGCTCTCCATCTGCAACCACAGAACCCTCGAGTTTCAGTTGAGCCCATGTCCACCCACAGAGAGTGTGTTTCCATCTCTTTGAAGCTGTCCGTGATGGTGTGACCACCTTCTGGCTTATGGTGTATAAGCAGACAATAACCACCTCTCATGAAGTTATAAAACAAGATAAAATTAAAATACGTGACAACGTTAGGGTATGAGTTGGGAAGTGGAAATAAGAATTACAATGTGCCGAGGTCCTTGCGTTGTTCTGAGGAACAGAACACTATTAGCTGCGTTTGGACTGCAGGAAGTATGCTTGTGAAGTTCTTTTTAGGAAACCTCTCCAGGCGCCACCTGGGCTGCAATTCAGGACCCCTGGATTCTAGAGGGAAGAAGGTTTCGCTCTCAGAGTGCTGCTATTTTTTCAGCCACAGAGTAGAACCCAGCCCACCCCTGACTGCCCACCGCCCTCTGCTCAGGAGCTGCCCAGCACAGCCGCCAGGACAACTGTGTCTGGGCCTTTCCCCGAGTACCCCACCTCTTCCCGACTCAGACTCACTCATCCCAAAGTCACAGGAGTCTCCAGCGCCCTCCCGCTGGCTGACTCCTTTCAAATAAACGGCCACACACACTCCGTGTGGAAGGCCCATTGGTCCCACCCTGCCTGGCCACGTGATGTCTTCTCCACGCGCTCCCAACTCCCTCTCATGTGGGTTTGCCCAGCCATGCTGGCCTGGTGGACGCGTGTGCTTTCTGCGCGTCAGCACTCCCATGTCCAGAGCGCGGATCGGGCCGCAGCGGGCTTGCAGGCTCCTGATGTGGCCCGAGGTGCACCAGGAGGGAGATGCCTCATGACACTTAAGAGAAGGAGCGGCTGTGGGTCCCAGAGTGGAAAAGCTCCTACGGATTCCTCCGAAAACAGGGAAGTCCTTGTGGTTGGGATCATACTGCCCCTTCAGTCTGACGGGTGGCTTGTTCTTGCACATTCAACACTCTCCCACGCCCTCAGCCCCTCGCCCGGACACTGCCGAGATGGCTTCACTGAGCCCAGGCCCCTCTGCCCCTGTTCACTCATTAGTTGGTGAATGCCTACTGCTCAGCGGCCTTCTGCCCTCGGCCCAGGGCCCAGGGCCCTCACTACTGCTCTCCTTAGTCTCCTATTTGTTTGTCCCCTTCGCTCCGTCCATAGGCATCCTCCCCGCTAAGAGGGCAGGCGCACAGGACTTCCTGGCCAGGAAGCAGAAGTAGAACAGGTTTCTGGCCCCATCCCTGCCTCAGAGGGTGGGTCCCCTTCCACTCTGACAACCTTGATCACCTCATCCCTTTCTGCTTCCTGCTGCAACCCGGCCCAGTGCCCTGCTAGTGTGGTCATGTCTTTCTCCTTCCTCACCTTCCTCTTGACCCCTAGTCTGTTCTTCTCCAGCTCAGCCTGGCTTTGTTAGCTGCTCAGAGTTGACAAGAACAGGTCAACCTCTCAGCTCTGCCCCCACCCTCTGAAGCTATAAAGGCCTGCAGCTCTTCCACATGAAGACTACAGCAGCGCATGGAGAGCATCAGGGGCCCAGCTCTCACCCTGCCTCCAGCTCACGGCTCTTCCAAGAACACAGACTTAGGAGACCCCAGCCCCTGGGAGCGTCAGCTTTTCCCTCTTCACCGGGAGCTCTCCTTTCTCGAGAACACTGCTCTTTGCCTTCCACGGCTTGGCCGCATCTGGGACCCACGCATCTTGCTTTCTGGCCACCAAGAGGCACATCGAGATGCAGACAGGAAGCATTCCCCTGCTGTACTGGCTGCTGTTCCAGTTCCTGGTCTCGGAGCACGGTGAGTGATCTTCAAAGCGGGGGCCGGAGAGCCGCTGAGGGGCTGCGGAGTGGTGGCCTCAAGGGGCAGCGGCGGTCCTCCACCTGAGCACTTTGCTCTGCTCGTCACTCCCGTCTAACAGCGAATGCCTGGGAGGCCCGTGGGGCTCAGCGGTAAGACTGGCCTCAGAGGCCTCCTAAGAATCAGGCTCCTTCGCTACCTGGCTTTGGGGGAGCTGTTTAACTCCCTGTGCCAAGGGTTCTGCATCTATAAAATGGCAATGACTTATGGGATATGGCTGGGGCAGGGGGGGTTAAATAGCAAGGACAGAAAGAATTGTCTACTTTAAAAAGTCTCACTCATCTATATTCTATAAATTTAATTCCTCTCCTGCTCCTAACCTGATTTGCATCATCCTAATCAGCCTCAGACCAAGGAGAATAGAAGTCAAGAGTCAGAACGGACTCCCACCCCGTCTCCATAGCCCTGGCACTCAGACCTCAGAGCTCCATCTCCTGGTGCACAACCAGGAAGCAGGACTTCCCGGAGAATTCATCATTTGGAATCAAAATTAGCCCTCTTGTCATTTCGACTTACCTGTTCTCCAAAGCTTCTCAGTCAAAGCCACTCTCTCTCTCATGTGTCACCTCTACACGTGGTCGTCTCCATTTCCTATCCAGTTTTACTCATGATTCTGATCTTACCCCGATTTCCATCCCTTTGCAGCAGCAGGACCTTCCCCAAACAGAGCTATACTCTAACCCTATGTCACTCGAAATGAAACTGAGGGAAACACACATGCAGAGTGAAATGAGCCCCAATGAGATAGACGCAGGCTTAGGCAAGGCTGTGTGTCTGTCCTTTAGGGTCATGAGGGCACATCCTTAATTCCAGCTGAGCCTCCCTACCTCTGTGGGTATTGATTTATGGCTTTTAACCTGGGCAGATCGTGCACATTTAACCTACACATCACCTGCTCTTCTCCGGTCTTTGCAAGGTGGTCAGGAGACCCTGGCACTCCCAATGCCGATAGAGTCACTCGCCCACTAGGAGAGACAGATAGCTGGCCCCACCTCAAACTGACTCATTCAGTCTGAGTGGTATATTTTCTACTAGTGGCCCAGTGCATGGATTCATACACATTGAAAAGAAATTAACTAGAAGAAATATTTTAATTTAACTATTCGCCCTTTCTCTATAATAGACATGTCAACCAAATTCATAATTGACAATGACAGATGGAAACACACGCATGCAATAGCTGACAGCGAGAGCTTTATATATATCGCACATACGTGAGTCAGCTTAGCCTTTTCTAGATACAGAAAAAACCTGCTTACTCAGACCTGCTTTCTGATGTAGCTAAACTTTTTCCAGCCCAGTGAAGCACCCCAACTTCTCTTTCAGGTAATTGTGAGCAACACAGCAGTAAATATCTACATGAAGCAGATTATTATTGTAGATCACACAGGGAGAACAAAGGGCAAAATATTTAACTGCAGCAGTGTCTGGCTGTATTCTGCGCAGTGAGAAAACCTAAAGTCATTTTTAAGGCCCACCATTTTTAACTTCTTTTCAGTTGCTAAGCTTTCTAAATCTCCGTTTTCTGGTTAATGAAAAGAAAATAGGATTCCACCGAGTCTCCTATCTACCTACTCCAGAACTTCTGTGAGGTTCAAATGAGATGAGGCATGTGAAAACGCTTAACAAACATTTGGTTACAGTGTAAAATGTTTGCACCTGGCTATAAAGCAAATCGTGTTCCTGGGCTGAAGCAACTCCAAGGAGGCTAGTTGCTAGAGAGAGGGAGCTTGGAGTTGCTGCGATGCCATTACCCACAGGATTGGACACTTAGCATATTCGCCTTTTATATAGATAGATAAGCTCTCCAGGGGACCCTGATGTAGGTGTTCTCTGAATAACATTCTGAGAAATATTTTTCAAGGAGGAAGCAATAATACTTTAAGAATGAATGAATCAATATACTAGTTTTACCTGCTCCTACAATTCCTTTATGATGATTTTCATCTGTATTAGATCTTGTATAGAAGATTTTGGAATGAGCTTATTGCCAACAAAACTAGGTCAGCTAACCCTAGTGTTGGGCTGGGTGGGGAGGATGAAAGAGTGAGGCAGCTACTAGTAAAGGTGCAGGCTCAACAGCTTGGGTTCAAATTCCTGTCCTATTACTGACCAGCTATATAAACATGGGTTAGATTCAACATCTGTTAGCCTCTATTTCTTCATCTTAGCTGGTAATAGAATCTTGTACTGCTACCTCAAAAATTCACGGGCTGTGTGAGCATTAAATAGAACTGCCTATGTAACGCATTTACACCAAATGTTGGGCAGAAAGTATATATTCTTTCAAATGAGTCATTATTTATCATTTTCATCAGGTATAACCTCCAGTGACAACAGCACAGCCCTCCCCACCACTGGATCCGGTGTTTCTTCCAGTGACAACAGCACAGCCCTCCCCACCACTGGATCCGGTGTTTCTTCCAGTGAGAACAGCACAGCCCTCCCCACTGGATCCGGTGTTACTTCCAGTGAGAACAGCACAGCCCTCCCCACTGGATCCGGTGTTACCCCCGGCGACAACAGCACAGCCCTCCCCACTGGATCCGGTGTTACTTCCAGTGAGAACAGCACAGCCCTCACCACTGGATCTGGTGTTACTTCCAGTGAGAACAGCACAGCCCTCCCCACTGGATCTGGTGTTACCCCTGGCAACAACAGCACAGCCCTCCCCACTGGATCCGGTGTTACCCCCGGTGACAACAGCACAGCCCTCCCCACTGGATCTGGTGTTACTTCCAGTGAGAACAGCACAGCCCTCACCACTGGATCTGGTGTTACTTCCAGTGAGAACAGCACAGCCCTCCCCACTGGATCCGGTGTTACCCCTGGCGACAACAGCACAGCCTTCCCCACCACTGGATCCGGTGTTACCCCTGGTGACAACAGCACAGCCCTCCCCACTGGATCTGGTGTTACTTCCAGTGAGAACAGCACAGCCCTCCCCACCACTGGATCCGGTGTTACCTTCAGTGAGAACAGCACAGCCCTCCCCACTGGATCCGGTGTTACCCCCGGCGACAACAGCACAGCCCTCCCCACTGGATCCGGTGTTACCCCTGGCGACAACAGCACAGCCTTCCCCACCACTGGATCCGGTGTTACCCCTGGTGACAACAGCACAGCCCTCCCCACTGGATCCGGTGTTACCTCCAGTGACAACAGCACAGCCCTCCCCACTGGATCCGGTGTTACCCCCGGTGACAACAGCACAGCCCTCCCCACTGGATCCGGTGTTACTTCCAGTGAGAACAGCACAGCCCTCCCCACTGGATCCAGTGTTACCCCCGGCGACAACAGCACAGCCTTCCCCACCACTGGATCCGGTGTTACCCCTGGTGACAACAGCACAGCCCTCCCCACTGGATCCGGTGTTACCTCCAGTGAGAACAGCACAGCCCTCCCCACTGGATCTGGTGCAACCATAGGAGGCCCGGACACCCCTTCCCCACCCGGAAGGCACACAACTTCCGATGTGCTCAGCGTGGGGCCCGCTGGCTCCCTGAAGCCCTGGGAGATCTTCCTCATCACGCTGGGCTCGGCGGCAGTGGCCGTGGGGCTCTTCGCCGGGATCTTCCTCTGCGCGGTGAGTGCCGGGCGAGCGGGAAGTGCCTGGGGAGGAGCGCAGGACGAGGAAGGCTCTGAGGAGCAGGGGAGCCAGCGGGCAAGCAGGGGAGGAAGACAGCAAGAGAGGAGCCACGGGCTAGGGGAGCCGTTGGCTGGAGGAAGGAGAGGCTGGAGGAGACGCTGGAAGGAGTCGGGGTGAAGGTCTGTGAGGGGGCGCGGTGCTGACACTATTCCCCTTCCTGTTCCAGAGAGACTCCCTGTGGCTGAGAGACGCCGTTGCCGCTGTCTACCGTCCCCATGACCTCCACGGGGGCCCGGGGCCCGGGGGCCGGGAGGATGCCCACTACAGGCCGAGGCGGAGGAGACAGGTGTCCGCTGCAGCGCTGGAGATGAGAGGGCCCTACCCAGGGCCCTGAGCGGGAGGGCCACGCCTTCCTGAGGGAAGCGGCCGGGGTCAGACCAGTGTCTTCACTCAGCGCCAGGAGTCCGCTCCCAGCCTTTGGATCTGCACCGGACACTTCCTCCCCTCCCTGCTCCACCAGACACTGGGGAGAGGAGACACGCTTCCTGGTCATTTACTGAGAAATAAACACACTGCAGGAACTCAGCCTGAGCGAGTGAGTGAGTGAGTGAGAACTGTTGGGACACTTACTCCGGAACCCTACTTGCTGCGCCAACTGTGGGAGCAGGTCCTCCCTGCCAGGTCTGACTCCCCGGACACAGGCATCAGACAGAGAGGACATGGAAGTCATTGTGAGGCCATAAGATTCTTACTGCAGACCAGTAACCACTGCTACCCAGGGGCCCTGCTAACAGGACAGACACAGCCCAGTACACACAGCAGCCCCTGCTAACACAGGACAGACACACACAGCCCAGTACACACAGCAGCCCCTGCTAACACGACACACACAGCCCAGTACACACAGCAGCCCCTGCTAACACAGGACACACACACACACAGCCTAGTACACACAGCAGCCCCTGCTAACACAGGACACACACACACAGCCTAGTACACACAGCAGCCCCTGCTAACACAGGACACACACCGGACCCAGTACACACAGCAGCCCCTGCTAACACAGGACACACACAGCCCAGGACACACAGCAGCCCCTGCTAACACAGGACACACACAGCAGCCCCTGCTAACACAGGACACACACAGCCCAGTACACACAGCAGCCCCTGCTAACACAGGACACACACACACAGCCCAGTACACACAGCAGCCCCTGCTAACACAGGACACACACAGCCCAGTACACACAGCAGCCCCTGCTAACACAGGACACACACAACCCAGTACACACAGCAGCCCCTGCTAACACAGGACACACACAGGACCCAGTACACACAGCAGCCCCTGCTAACACAGGACACACACAGCCCAGTACACACAGCAGCCCCTGCTAACACAGGACACACACAGGACCCAGTACACACAGCAGCCCCTGCTAACACAGGACAGACACACACAGCCCAGTACACACAGCAGCCCCTGCTAACACAGGACACACACAGGACCCAGTACACACAGCAGCCCCTGCTAACACAGGACAGACACACACAGCCCAGTACACACAGCAGCCCCTGCTAACACAGGACACACACAGCCCAGTACACACAGCAGCCCCTGCTAACACAGGACGACACAGAAGCCCAATCAAGCAGCCTCCCACGGGCCAGTCAGCAGCACATCTTTGTACCAATTGGGACAAAAGAGGCTCTGTGCCAAGGAGTGGCCTCAGTATTGGGGTGTAGAAAGGTATGCCTGGGCGGTGTGTGCAGTGTCCTTGCTTTGGCACCTCATATGGCAAACTGGCCTTGGACATCCGTTGCTCTGATCGGGGGCCCACGTGTGTGAGTGTGCACACTCCAGAGGAGCACAGCCCGTGCTGAGTCTCCCGCTCTGAGAAGCCAGCGGGCTCCCGCATTCACAGGCCAGGGGAAGCCCAGGCCTGGCTGTCCCCATTCTCTCCTCCTTCCGCACTCCGGCTGCCAGGGGAGTGAGAGGGCGGCCTGGGCCCTCAGGCTGGACCCAGGCGCGGGGGTGCAGGTGCTGTGGGCAGGTGTGTCCCCTCCAATGGCAGTTGGCAGGGTCTCGTGTTTGCTCTGAGCCGAGCAGCAGGAGGAAGGGATGAGAGGAAGTGGAGGGTAGCAGAGAGGAAGGACTGGGCTCAGGCCAAAAGTAAACACAACTCAGTCAACACACGGAACACCAATGACTTGCCTGCTCTAAACACGTGAGCTCTATGGCACGTAAGTTTATCCAACCAGAGGCCCGGTGCAGGAAGTCCTGCCCTCGGGAGGGGCGGCCCCTCAGCCCAGCCTGAGCCTCTCGCAGTCCGGGAGCCTGGGGATGTCCCACTGACAGGGGAGCAGCCTGAGCCTCTCGCAGTCCGGGACCCTCGCTCCTCACTGCTGCTCGTACCACTTGGCGCTGCTCCTCAGCGCTGCCTCGGGGCAGGAGCGGCTCCGCTTCTCCCTGAGCATTGCCCCTGGCGGTCAGTGTGCGTCACAGTGACCAGTGGTCCATTATGTTCAGGCTACGTGTTGATTGCATATTAGCCTTGTATTATTTAGGATAAAGCTATTAAAATGTGACTACCAGGCGTTGTACAAATGTGTAAGCATTAACACTTTGGTTTTTAAGAATAAACAACAAATGACTCAGAGCAATGAGACTTGGCCACAGACAGGGCCGAAAGGGAGGAGGCGCGGAGAGGGGTTCAGCCTGTGACTAACTCACTGGTCACTCGGCAAACACTCCGCTCCTCCCAGAAACCGGCGTGTCCGCGAAGGCCGGTTACTCAGCCTCTGCCAGGGGGTGCTGCCCGGGAGCGCCAACCGGGCGGCTGGCCGGGCAGGGCCCTGCGCTCTGCGGAGCCCGCCGTGCCCGCGGGGGGCGGCGTGCGCTGGGGCACGGGCTTCCTGCAGGCCCCGTGCAGGTGGGGGCGTGTTGCAGGGACCGTTGTCCAGGCTGTCCACGTCATGGATGTGTGTTTGCTGAGACCGAGGCTGAGAGAGCCCTCTGGCCAGCACCGGCCGCTTGTGGAGCGAACGGAGGGACGTGGCAAACGCCTCCTCGCTGAGGCGCCTCCCCAGCGGCTCCCGCCTTCCGGCCTCAGGCTCCTGCAGGGCCCGCGGGGGTGATAAGCGGACGTGGGCCTGTCAGATGCCATCCTGCCAGCTACGGTGTAGAGTGGAGGGCAGGAGGGATAAGACTCCTGCTGCGCAAACCCCCTGTCCCCTCTGGTCACGGGGTGTCCCCTGGGGGCGGGTCCTGGCACAGAGCCCGGCGCCCGAGCAGGGCGGAGGCCGCTGCAGAATGTTCCGGATCCGTGGCCACCGGCGATGCCAGGGAGCCACGCGGCCCGTGCAGCCCTGCGAGGACACAGCTCGCCCGTGGCGGTCTGCGTGGCGGTTGTATGTAGCGGGCGATTTCCAGGAGGAAGATGCTCCTCGCTCCACACCTACTTCCCAAGGATTATGTTTCATCCGAGTGGAAAGGGCAGAGAGGCAGGTGGCGAGTGGCCGGTGGCGGGAGGAGGGTGGCAGGTGGCAGGTGGGGGGTGGCAGGTGGGACGGGTGGCAGGTGGCGGGTGGGGGAGGCGGGAGGCAGGTGGGACGGGTGGCAGGTGGCGGGTGGGGGAGGCGGGAGGCAGGTGGGATGGGTGGCAGGTGGCGGGTGACGGGAGGTGGGTGACAGGTGGCGGGAGGCGGGTGGTGGGTGGCGGGAGGCGGGTGGGGGGTGGCGGGAGGCAGGTGGGATGGGTGGCAGGTGGCGGGTGACGGGAGGTGGGTGACAGGTGGCGGGTGGCAGGTGGTGGGTGGCGGGAGGCGGGTGGGGGGTGGCGGGAGGCAGGTGACGGGAGGTGGGTGGCAGGTGAGGGATTGGACCTTCTGGCCAGCACAGACTGGGTCCCAGGCCTGAGCTGGGGGGAGGGGGAGCTGTCCTGTGTGGGGAGACTGAATGGCATGGCTGTTTTATGTTGGGTAGGTCTGTGTTTCCTATTTTCTTGAAAATATGGAGAAATATTTCATAGAAGAACATGTTCATTTACCTTCATCGGAAGGTTACTGAGGACTGTAACTTTTAAAGGCACATAAACATGCCTTTGGTGCACAAACGTGCTCAGAACTACCGTTAAGCACGAAGACATCACAGCCGGACAGCGTGGGCAGCGACCCGGGCCAGCACCGCCCACGGCTCACCGCAGGACACGGCTCACTCCAATGCCGCTCTCACAACGGGGAGCGACTGCATTGAAATCGTTACATGTGTGACGAGCTTAGCTCAGACACTGAGCCCTCAGGAACACCTGGCTTTTCCCGCGCAGGGGCGGCTCAGGTGTCTGACGAGGTCCGCCGCTCCGGGAGGGACGCTCAGCTCCAGGCGGGCGGGCGGCAGCAGGGGGCGTGTCTCCGGGGAGCTGGGTCCCTCTGCCTGCGTTTTCCGGTGACCGTCCGGGAGCAGCGCCGGGCTCCGGGCGGCGGACAGGCGGGCGCCGCAGTGCCCGGAGCGCCGCGCCCGGGCGGAGGCGGCTGCAGGGCGCGCCGTGCGCATGGCCGGTGCCGGCGGCCGCCGCGCGCGGGGACCCCCGTCCTCGCCGTCTCCCCGGAGGGCTGGCGGCCGCCCGCGTGCCCGGGGCGTGTGCGAGCCCCGCTCTGCAGCGGGCCCGGTAGCTTAGCCCTGACCGCGCGGCCTGGGAGTTGGCCGAGCTACTAGCCTCCGTCCCCTGTGACCGACGTACTAGCCTCCGTCCCCTGTGACCGACGGGCCCGCCCTCCCAACGGGCAGCAGGCGCGGGTCTCAGCGCCTGGGGGCAGCGGCTCCGGGCAATGGGGAGGGGCCTCTTCCCGGCGGAGATGGCTGCAGGGCGTGCGAGGCGGAGCTCCCAGCGGGAGGCCCTGGCGTTAGCGTGCCCACGCGCTGCCCCGCATCACCCCCGCCTCACTGGAGCCACCGGCCGAGCGCATGTGATGGCAGGCTTTGCATGCAAGTAGACCCCGTACAATGTGCACCCAAGGGGCCTTCCGTGTTCGTCCTCACCCGAGGATATTTCCCCGTTGGTTTTTGGAGAGAGTGGGAGGGCAGGAGCGAGGGAAGGAGGGAGAGGAACATAGATGTGAGAGAGACACAGAGATTGGCGCCTCCCAAGGGCCTCCCTACTGGGCCTGGGTCGAACCTGCAACCCAGGTACCTGCCCTTGACAGGAAATCCAACCTGGGACCCTTCAGTCTGCAGGCTGGCTCTCTAACCATTGAGCACACCGCCAGGGCTCCAAGAGATCCTTTTATTTATTTATTTATTTATTTATTTATTTATTTATTTAGACAAGAAAATAAATTATCATGCAAACTTATCTTTCTCTGACCGTCTTATTTCACTTCGTGTAGTGCCCTCCAGGTCGCTCCACAATCCTGGGAGTGT